CAGATAATAAACATGGTGCTGTTCCATTACCTTTCCCACAGTCAATCCTGAATTATACACATTTATGCAAGTCTGATTAGAAAACAATACCATCCATCATTCCCAATAGAAATGGCTCATCCTGATGTGTTCAGGCAGACTTTTACTGTCTGCAAGACTGACAGTTGGTTCCTCTTTTTCTCTGCATCTGGCAAATCATTTTTATACAGCTGGGGAAAATGGCATTATATTGCAGGTTAAAACTCCAGCCTAGACAAGGGCTATTTTGGGGTAGCAGGATGGTTAGAGATGGGAAAGAACAGGTCCTAAAATTGAGAGTAATGACAAGTCATCTTCCTCCTGCTGAGAAAGGAAGAGAAACCTTTCTGGTAATTTGAGGTGGGAAAAAACAAGTAAGAAATGCAATTGGGAAAGAAATACTTAAAATTACACCCACCACCCCTTTTTACTTGGAAAAAAACCCCAAACCACCACCAACAAACTCACAGCCCCCCTGGGAATTTCTATGCTAGCCTAATGGTTTAATATTTGAAGGGGAGTTGAAGAAACGAGATTAAAGAGCCACAAAAGTGGTTACCTTGTGAAAATAATGGCTTTGTGCAATGTTCCTTGGAAGTACATGGAAAGGGCTGGTTGGTTGCTGTATTTAGACTGCATCTTTTAAGCATTTGTGAATTATCCCAGCCGAGATGGACAAAGCTAATCAAAGAGCTGTGTGGGAATGCTCCAAGACTGAGACCTTCCTGCCAACAAAAGGAGGGTGAGTGAGAAAGGGGGGGATTTGGTCTTTTCCCTCCTCATCTCTCTGTGTTTTGCAGGTACAGGACACCAGGGACTGTGAGTGGTTCAGTTATTACGTGTTAAAGAACATCACATTTGCACAGCTCTTCAGGGTGAAAACGCTTCCTTGGTCAAGTTCTTATCCTGAGCCCTGGTTCTTCACCAGCTGGATCACAGGACTTGCTATGTGCCTTTTGGGGCTGAACTCTTCCCAACTGCCTTTCCATTGGAGTCTGATTTTAACATGACCTCCAGTTCCCTGAAAATCAGGGAAGATGCTTTTATTTCCTGGGCCTGGAGTGGTGACTTCCAGTGTGTGATTTGGCATATTTGATCCCAGAAAACATAAGGATTCTTTCTAAGACAGGTCATCAGCAAATGGAAATAGGGGAATGGGTGAAGCTGTGGTAGCAGCGTAGGTGCTGCTGTGGTGTGCTCATTAGGATGGAGAGGTTTGGGGTGTCAGTGGAAAGCATTAAATACTTGTGTGATTTCCTGCAGTCTATGAAGGAACACAAGCATTTAGTGTTTGGCCCAATATTTTAAAGGAGAGTGCTTGTAAAGCTGATTTCCAAATGACAGTATTTCCATAGATGGAAAAGAAAAGCACTGGAAGCAGTTTTAACCTTGTTCTACACTGGGTTTGTGCAACCTGAATGCTGCAGTGTCAGGACCCTGCTAAGATGCAGTTGAAGACCCTGAAGCAGCAAAGAGCTTGGTGCAGGACCCTGCCCTCAGTACCTGGCTCCGCATGGCTGCAGGCTGCAGCCCCTGTGACATACCTGGGGGCTTGTGAGTGATGTCTCTATTGGGCTTGGCTGGAGCAAAGCACAAGAGAAGGTAATGGCCTGAATGATCAAAGTGGCAGAATTCAGTTTAGCTCCTTGCAGTTGATTTAACAGGTAATCATCTGGCCGGGAGCTGAAACTTCTGAAGGTAAAAACTCCCTCTCAGGTTATAGAAAAGAGCCAACCTGACAAGTTCCATTATAAATTTGGCAGTCTCTGCTATAGATCAGCTGAAAGCCAGGGTGAGTCGAGTCTCAGGGCCAGCTAGATGATTGTCTATCAGATGGCACACTGGTAAGAACAAAATCTAAAATTATGGCTCTATTTCCATAATTTTGGTGGTTCTGGTGTCATTTTTCAGATCTAAACTGGCATAATGCTAATGCTGATGTATTGTGATCTGTCATGACGAGAACGACATAAAATACTCGCTTCCAACGTTGGCATCTCATCGCAAAGCTGACTTGAGCACCTCGCTGTGCAGTTTTGCACCTCTCAGATCCATCCCCTTCTCTTTCAGCCCGGCATTCGGAACCTCTGTCAAAGCTTCTGAAAGCTCCATCTCAGTCCTGCATGCAGGATATAAATGTGGAGTCCCCACTTTTAGAAACTTGATGAATCTCTGTAGTGGTTTGGAAGTGGAACTGCTAAATTTGGATTGAAAAGACAGCTGCAGAAAGCCAGAATGGGCAGAATGGTGCAGATGCTTTTGGCTTCTGAACTTTTCCCGTTGCTGCTTTTGGACCCATCATTAGAGGGAGGAAAGCTTAATCTCGGGAAATGGAAGGGTACCACATTATGCATCCTGCCTCCCAAACACAGAGGGTTTAAAAGCAGTGAGCAAAATCCTGCTCACGTATAGGAAAGCTGTCAGTTTGGTGAGGCAGAGACTCATCCATCCTCTGCCTGATGATCAGCTCAGGGCAGAACAGAGAAAAGGGGAGTTTTAGACACTGCAGCCAGCACAGCCCAGGAAATCGTTTTGTAGTGGAACTTTTGCAGCACTGTGACAAATGCAGCTTACATGCTTCAATAGGCAAAGAATAAATGTATTAATTCAAAGCACAAGAAACAGTAATGGCCTAAATGATGAAAGTGACAATGAGTCACTCCAGGGACTCTGCAGCAGCCTCACGCAGCTCCTCCCTGTGCCAGGAGACAGCAGGAGAGGAAGGAATTGCCCTGGTAGGATCTAAGGGGCTGTTGGAGAGAAACCTGGGGTAGTTTTTTGCCCGTGATGGAGGTGCCAGTGAGCTGGTCGCAGAGAGCCAGGAATGGGGCAGAGGGGCCTGCATCTGGTGCAGGCTCTGCAGAAGGAGCTTCAGCCCTGCTGGGATGGAGCAGTTAAAGTTGAGGGAAGGACATGAATTTCGTACTCAGCTTAAAATGAGGCTGATTCAGAATTACAACATGAGTTTCGTGCAGCAGAACAGAGCCATTTCCACATCCTGTCCATGTCCAGGCTGTCTGTGTGCCAGAAGGGTGGGTCCTCCTTCCTCAGCTCTGATACAGAAGAGAAGTGAAGCAAATAGATTGCCTAGCTGTTTCCTGCCTGGGGCACGAGCCCCATCACTCACTGTCATTGTAGGAACACCATCTTCCCAGCAGTAAGCTTCAGGATCAAGCTCTGAGACATGCAAGCATCAGTACCATCAGAGGGAGCGCAGAGTTCTCGCAGGGATGCCCTGTTAGCTTAATGAAGAATGAGAACTTCCCACTTACAATAATGCTGCCACAAAACCCCCCCAAAGATCTGTTGAAACTCAGGTCAGATGATGGAGGTGTGTTTGATGGATTCCATGGAGGTTTCTCCCTGCCTCACCATGGTTTAGTTTCTCGGGAGCAGAGCGCTCCAAGGGACTGATTCATCCGCGCTGGCTGTGTTTGCCCAACATTCTTTCTCTTGGTGGTGCCGCAGTCCGAACGTTACCAATCAATTCAGCAAATGTTTATCCTCATCCGCAGGAGCAGCTCTGTGAAACTTGGCTTTGGAAGGCTGATGCTTGAAAAGGGGGGGGGGCTCTCAGTGTGTGTGCTAATGAAGGAGGTTGCCAGAGGCTTGCAGTGTTGGGTGTGTGAAGCACTCAGCCGAAGGGAAGGACAATAAGAGCCGAAATGATGCTGGTAATTTCAGACCGAAGAAGCCTACGTATTCTGGTGCTGAAATAGAGCAGTAAATGCTGTTGCAGGGGCACTCTGTAGAGGAATGATTTGTCTTAAACTGTCATTTTCTCTCAAATGTCTTGTTTGAGTGAAGCGTGTTCGAAGTCTCTTCTCTCTGTTGGATGGCAGTGGAGAGTATTGTTAATGCTCGGAAGCAGCCTTCTTCCCCTTTGTTAGCTTTCTGCCAGGGAGTGAATCAAAGAAGGGGCAGGTCACTGTGGCTGCTCGGAGTCAGGCTGTGGGAATTGTAAAGGGCAGCTTTCTTTAAGGCTCTCCTTAGAAGCTGGCAATCCCAAGCCCTCCCGCTGAGCACAGGGTACTTGGAGGTTTAGGTTTTCCTACCAGCTGGAGCCAAAGGGGCAGGAGGACAGAAAAAGCTGTGCTGGGCTCTGGGGCTGTGTGTGTTGGAACCTGTACAAGGACACTGCCTTGCGGTCCTCAGGCAGAGGTCAATGGGCTGAGCCCGGGCAGGACAGTTCAGATGTCCCAAAAGGAATTGTTGGAGTTGGAATAGGTTTCTTAAAAATCACCCAGCCCACTCACTTAAGAAAGTTTCATAGGAAGGTACCAAAATGTCCTGGGTCTCCCCTTTCTCCTTTATGAACGGATTCAGTTAATTCATAGAAAACTTTGGTGCAATCCTTAAACAAGACCGATTTCTCCTTTGCTCACCACTGTATTTAGTGCATCGTGTTCCTTCATGGTGCTGCTTTGCTGAAGTCCTGCGTGTGGCTGCTGCAAGGCGGGCACCTGGGGAGTGCTTTTGCAGTTTGATCAAGTTTTATTTGTGCTAGGATAACGAAATGGGAAAACCAAGGAGGGAACATCCCTGTAATCGGGGATGCCTCAGCTTTGGCCTTAGGTTTTTAGCCCATTTTAATCCCCATCCTGTGTAAACTGCTGGAGGTGGCCCTGCCTTGGCAGGGGGGTTGGAGTTGATGATCTCCAGAGGTCCCTTCCAACCCCAGTGCTTCTGTGATTCAGAAATACTGATACTCCATGGAAAAGATCAGGAATTACGAGAGGGAGGCATCTTCCCATTGTGCTGGGAATTGGGGTAGTGCAGGACTGAGCCGGTCCCAAGTTCTGCCCAGGATGAGTCTGAGACTCCAGCAAACCACTGAGTGATCACTGTGATCAGTGTTCGGTGCTAACTGAGGTTTTATACTGAGTTGGTCGTTGGGTTCAGCAGTGAATGGGAACCCCCTGCTCCTTCCCAGGAAGCTCGCAGTTCTTTTAAGCACTTCCACTGGATTTTTGTCTTTGCAGATGATGAAATTCGCTTGGGATAACTACAAACTCTATGCACTTGGGAAGAACGAGCTGCGACCGCTGACCAAGAACGGCCACATCGGGAACATGTTTGGTGAGTCCTGGAGCAGGCTGGGTGCAGTTGCATTGGGGTTTTTGGAGGTCACACGTCCATGTCCGTTCCTGTCTCTGCAGTGCACTGAGGTACCTGTGGTGGCCATTGGTCTCTTTCCTCTTTCCTTTTTTATGACACTTCCAATACAACTCCTAGGGGTTACCTGCCCACATCCCATTGCTGTTGTTCCTACAGACATCCCTCAATGCCCAGCCTGTATCACCTCTGTGTACAGACCTAGCACCAAACATGTCTGAGAGCAGTGCTAAAACCAACCAGTGTCTTTGTTAAAGCATGAAGTCAGTCCAAACCTGACAATGCTGCTGTTTCTCTAATCTCATAGACATCAGGACATGACCAAACTGAGCATTTTCTCTCCTGTTGCTCCACTGTTGAGCAAGATGTGAATCTCATGAAATATTGAACATGAGAATCAATAGTAAAGGTTCTTTATACCATGTGCTTACTGAGCTGTATAGTTGTACTCTTTAGCAGATTACCTTTCACTGTATGAGACACTTGCATCATTTCAGTGCCTGTTCCAGTCGGATACTTGTTGACCTTGGGGGATATAAATTGCCTCTTTCCTCATTTGCACTCAGAGCTTTTCCCTGCTCTGCTCACTCTGCCCTACCTTGCAGCTTTGGGGAGCTGCAAAGGTACATGTGGGAATGAATGTTTGCAGGTGGAAATAGCATCCCAGGTCTTCTAGAATGGCCAAAACCTTGAGGAGCAGCAGTCTGGTTTGGCCCCTGGACTGCAAGGGCGGGTGGCCCTGCTGGAGATGCCAGAGGAAGGGCTGGCTTTTAGTTTAGCCACAGCACAGAGAGAAACCTTGGTGCTCTGCTTGTGCCATCACCACCAAGTCCTTTTGTTGTCCCAGGTGAGGCACTTGGCTCTTTAGTTCCTGCAGAAGTACCAGGAGCGTTAAGTCCCATCTGGTTGTCCAGTGCTGTGCGTTGCGTGGAAGCCACGTTGCCAGTTGCTGAGGTATCTGGAGTTCTGGACATGGACCTTGTACTGCCAGCACAGGCTGTGTGTGACCAGCCCCTGCTCCGGTCCTGCCTCACTTGGTCAGGAGCAGTGGTTTGGGTTGGTTTGTCCTTTGCCTTCCCCTTTCACCCCCCCAGGAGCAGCCAGGTTTCTTACTTGTGAATTAGCATTCACTTCAGCAGGAGTTAAGCATTTTGTGGCTTTTCCATTCTGGCAAACTTGTCAAAATTCCTCAAGGAACGTGCTATAAACAGGCAAAAGCATTGAAAGCTTTTAAATGCATTTATCATGCTAAAACAATTGGCAGTACTTCCGCTTGTTTGCAGCGCGCGGGTGAACACTCTCAAGGAAAATGCTTCGGAGCACAAGGATTTGCAGACAGTTGCAGAAAAGAAGCTATGTGGTACATTTCAGACTCCTGATAGGCTTTTCCTCCTTGTAACTGTGGCTGGGAAAGAATGGGAGCATCGGGCAATCAATTGCTGCAGCCCTGTCCCTCTTGTCTTCAGAGACTTCTAGAAATGAGGACAAGGCACTGCTCACCTTCTTCATTGTTGCCTCTTCCCCCTCCTGTCACATCGTGCATCTTTGATTCCACACTCTGGATGTAATGGAGGCAAATCGGGTGCTCTCTGGGCTGGAGGTGTCAATATTAAGCAGAGATTTCTCTGCAGCTGCTTCCATGTGGGAGGGAAGGAACTTTTCGCTGTGTTTGTGTGCACGAGAAGCAGTTGAGTTCTTGAAGGGTGATGCGTTTTCCTGTTGTGGATGCGATGCTCCCTTGGAGCCCAGCCTGGGGGAAGAGGGGAGATGGTCTTTATCTAATATTCTCTCTAATCGAAGTAGAAATACAAAGTAAACACTCACCTTCTGCTCCTTCATAGCATTCTGCTGCTCTTAACAGCCCCGAGCCAGCATCCCTCCCCTACATCTGCCCAGATGGCAGGAAAATCACAGGCAGAAACCTCTCGTATCTCCACCCTAGTTCATCTCCTTTCTCCTCTGCCTTGGAAGGCAGCAGCTCACATCTGAGAGGGTATCTGTGCACTTTCCATGCTGCTTCATAGCCAGAGATCAGAGCTGCCCCCTACCCACTACTGCCCACTACTCCCACTCACTCAGACTTCAATCTGGTGACTTGGTCTTAACTTCCCCACTTGTGAGTGGTGCCCTACAGGCGCTATTGCTAAGGCATCAATTTCATCAAGGTTCCCCCATGTTCTGATGTAGCTTATTTGTACAGAAGTCTTCTGATTGCTGTAATTTATAATCATTGCAACCTGAAAGCTCTTTCATTAAACCCACTAGCTGTGGTTCTTTGATAAGCATTATTCATTCATCTGTGATGCTTGGGATAAGATGCCCCATGCTAAACATCCCGTTCCATGCCCTCCAGTGGGGTAAACATGTTTTATACTTGCAGCCGTTTCAGATGTGTGATGATTTCCCTGGAAATTATGCCATGGAAACGGGCAGAGCACACTACTAGGGTGGAAGGATGATCTCTGTTAGTATAAAACCTGCACCACAAGATTCCAGTAGGAATGGCTGCACGACTGTGGGGTTTTCAGGGTGATCTGCAGCATTTCTCTCCACGCTGCAGCATGCTCAAGGAAGACCTGCATAGTATCTGGCCACTGTTAGAATCAGGCCCAAAACATGCTTGTATAAAGAAAAACGGCATAGCTGGGCTGTGGGTAAGGGTGAAGGCTGGAGATGCACAGGCATGGATTCTGCTCCCGGTTATTTTACCCTTCCTATCCCAGCATCTCACCATTGCTGTCTTTGGTGCTGTGAGCATTAAGATCATAGAATGGTTTGAGTTGGAAAGTGCCTTAAGATCACCCAGTTCCAGCCCCCTGCCATGGACAGGGACATCTCACACTAGACTATGTTGAATTCCTTGGAGTGAGGCTGCTGGAGAGATGCTTGTGATGCTCTTGTCCCTGTGGTACCCAGCATTAGGTGGCTGTATTCTCATCTGCCTGCTCCCTGCGCCTGTCAGAGCCACTAATTTTTCTGACAAAATGGTTTTAAACTCCTGTTAGCTTTACAGAGTTTCTCTGGCTATGGGAGAGTGAGCTGGCATCTATTTCCGCTCGTGCATCAACTGAATTGTCAGCTACATTTGGATTGCAGTCTTTTAACAATGATAAGGTAAGAAGCCTGATTTTCAGATATCTCTTGAAGTGTGCAGTGCTGGCAGCAGAAGAATCCTGCTTTGACTTTTAACCTGAGCCAATTTGCTCCGAAATCAGTGACAGCAAGTAAATATGGAACCTTGCTGTGCCGTTAGTCATTTTCACCACTGAACTACACATTAGTGTATTAATGTTCGTTTAAAAATAGCAATCCTTAACTAGGTTCCCCCCCCTTTTTCCCCTCTTTCCACTTGAAATCATACTTAAAATTATGCCATTGCTTTTCTCAGCATATGCTGAATTTGTGCATCGCTGTGAGGCTCTGTAGCTTTATCTGATGGTGAATCCATGTCGCAACCGTCGCATCTAGGACGCAGCCAGGTCACAAGACCTGGGTGGCAAAGACCTGAGAGCAGCTGGATCTAAAAGATGGAACGTGTTTCGGCTGCATCCTGATGTTGTGCCACGTTTGATTGCGTGGTGACCCAGGGCTATCTGCGCAGGATGGATAACAGTTCCTGGAAAAGTGTTTGTGTGCTGGGCTCAGACCTTGGCCTGAGCTGTCCTGACAGTTTGTTTTGCACACAAGAGGTCATTGGGCTCGGTTGCCTGGAAATACTTTGCTATTTTGGCTCTCCAGGATAGAGAAAGGGTTTGAAGCGCTGGGGAAGAAAAGCAGTGTCCACGTGGGTATGTCCAGGGAGGCCTCTAGAACGTACCAAGGTGATCCTGGCGTTCAGAAACCTTCAGGTGTTTTTTCCCTGGCAAATGCAGTGCGATCCCACCGCACTTCCCCTGCACTGTGATGCTCTGGATGGAGATCCAAGTGGCATCTCCCTGCAGGACCTGGCACACCAAGCTCCTTTCAGCAGGTAGAGAGCTCTTTGCCAGCCACTCCAGTGCTGGACCCAGTTGGACACAAAAGGCTTTGCATCCCAGGGTTAGTCCCTCCAAGCAGCCAGTTCTGCCTCTTGAGCCAAGCCTTTTCCAAATAGCTGCTTCCTTCATTGATGGTTTAGCTCAGAAGCCATGAAGCAGGCAGGGAATGTGCCCACCTCGATTAGAAGCAACAGGAGTTGGTGTATGAATATTTAACATGGGAAACGTAATTGCATGAAAATATTAATTTAGCCATATCCTCCCTACCAGAACAGAAATGGTAACCTCCAATTGTGCCATCATTTGGTGCAACTTTTCTGCCCTGCCTGTGAGGCTCTTTCCCTGTGATCACAAAATTACAAACCCCTGGAGTGTCCTTTTATGTGATTCAAATAATAATAACAATAATCCTAATTGCTCTCTGAATTTGTATGCTGAATTATTCCTGCTGCACATGACACTGGATGGTTGGCTCCATGGGCTCTTTAAAGAGAAAAACGTATTGCAAGGAAGGTGTTGCCAAAGCCCTGTTGCTCCTGACTTCATCATCCTTCTTTCTATGCATAATGTTAGCCAGTTGATTCTTACTTTCAGGAAGGGCATTTTGAGTTGATGTTGGCTTTTACTGTCACTGAAATCTGCAGCAGCAAACTTATTTCCTGTCAGCAGGAAGCAGTGAATCAGGATATCCTCCAAATACCAAACTGTTGGAGATTGGTTGCATATGAATCATGTTAGAGCTGACATTTATGCCTGTCATGTGTTTCTTTTCCCTGCTTACTACCTGCCAAAGATCACTCCTTCCAGACACGAGGTTGTCATACATCCTGCGGGAGATGCGTTCCACTCTGCTCTCACCTTGGGTCATGCTGAGAATGGTGGCTTCCTTCAGATGTACTGTTTCAAACATGAGCTCAAACATGAGGGCTCTACTGAGCCCTAAACCCGTGTAGAGATTTAAGCTTATTACAGTGGCTCAGGTTGTAA